GGGTGCCGCGAGCCGATGAATCGTGCTCTGTAACAGCCGACTTAAACGTAAAACACGTACCGTGCGCGTGCGTACGTGTGTGTGTGTGGTGCAGCAGTAAGCAGGCAATGCAACAAGTGTCCTGAGGTTTTGAATCACAAGCAGATCGCGGCGGTCGAGAGAGAGAAAGAGGAGGACGCGGCTAGAATGGGATACGACGGGAGGGGTGAAACGGGAGGGGAGGGAAGGTCGGAGGGGTTGCGAACGGGAGAAAGAGGAACACGGACAACCGGAGAAAGAGGGCAAACCGATCGGAGTTCGCGAGGCAGGAGGGTGTCAGAGAACAGATATAATACCCCGGAGAAAGCTTTACGCAAACGCGCGCGCCGGAACACGTGAGATGACGTGTGGTATCGAGTGTTCGACGCTTGAATGCCTCGATACCTTCTCCCACGGGACCCGGGAACGCTGAATATCGCGTGTCGCGATCGCTCATGCAAGAATTCGAACCGAATTCGGGGTCAGCGGTGCACAAGGTTTTTGCTAACCGATGTCAACACTAGAGTTGGCCAAAGTTCCACTGTTACGGTCACATATGTAACATGTGAGTGGTGTTCATTTTTATATTCCCATTCTCTTCTAAACACAGATTCTTTGTGAGACAACTCGGGTGTTGATGTGGGTGTGGGTAGCGATAGATGTGGTGAGGAAATATGTCATCGTGAATCTTGGGGTTTGGTAGTTCATTTTGTTTCTAATGAGAGACTGATCTTAGGAGATGGTCCAAGTACTCCACATTAATATTTGCAATTCATAATTTTGTTATAGAGGAGCTATGGCAGACTGATCTTTGTAAATGTCCTAAATACTCCACATTAATATTTGAAGTTCATAATTTTGTCATGAATGAGCTCTGATAAATTGATCTTTGTAAATGTTCCAGATAGTCCAAATTAATATTTGCAATTCATAACTTTTGCTCTGAGTGACCTCTGAGAAACTGATCTTTGCAAATGTTCCAAATACTACAAATTAACATTTGAGTCTGACAATTTTATTATTAACTACTCTATTTTAATACTTGATCACTTTACTACTATCCCTAAAACAACTGACCTCAAATTCTTCCTCAAATGACCTCTAATGACCTTTAATGACCTTCACAAAATTTTTGAAAATGTACAAAATACTTGAAATTGACATTTGGGTCTGACAATTTTATTACTAACCACTCTATTTTAGTACTTAATCACTTTACTACTACCCCTAAAACAGCTGACCTTAAATGCTTCCTCAAATAACCTCAAATGACCTCAAATGACCTCTAATGACCTCTAAAAAATATTTGAAAATATACTAAAGTCTTGAAATTAATTTTCCAAGTATGTCACTCTTGGCAAAGGTTAGAGATTATTCACATATAAGGATTAAGATTATTAGCTCAATCAAACTTGCCACAACATTTTTCATAATCCAGAGTTGTGTTAAGGTTCAATGCATCGACTGATTATTCAAGATATTAAGGCTAGAGAAGATTAATAGATATTCTTGTTTGAAGCTTACCGTCCTGTACGTTCTCTTTTGACCAGCATGCTTTCCCGGACGACCCTCAAGGTCAACATGGACAGCATGAATAATGTCGAAGAAGTTCTCCACGATTGCCACTTTCTTGTACACTCTTCCGGGTGGTACTGTTCCTTCAGCGCCATTTAACGCCTGAAATTCAACATTGGATGCGGTTAGAATTGCAAATTTTAAGTGGGAATAGAAATGTAAATTTGAAATAGAAATAGAAATGCAAATTTGGAATAGAAATTTGTTAGAAGTAGTTATAGTTTCAAGTAGCGTTTTGCAAAACTTCAAGAGTGTATTCATGTTTTGGTTACTTTACTTGAATTTCTATTAACATTGATTGTACTGTTAAATTTATACATTTTGCAGTATTTCATGTATTTAAGATGCAGTTTAATCCTTTCGTTTGAGAAATTTAGTTTTAAAGAAAAATCTTTGAGGATCATAATCTGTGATAGATAAATGAACTGTAAAATTAGACTCAGGCAACTTATTTAGATTTAAATGTTAATTTGCTTTTAGCTGTTAATTTATATTAACTTGAACGATGTTATATTTAAGTTTCATTCAAAATGAAATTAACATCTGTATTTTGTGTCACTGACACAAAAATAATAAATTAACCGAAATGCTACAAATAATTACAAATTATTTTTTTATTTTACTTCACATCAGTAGAGCACAAAATTAATCTAAGGGTTGGTTTTAAGATCAGAGGGTGAAATTTCAGGTGTCAACGCCATCTAGGTAAGCACATTCGACTGCAGAGTAAAGTAGAAGGTCTCTACCATACCGACAGAGTGCAGAACCGTGTTACTTTCTTACCGACAGTCACTCTTACCTCTGTCGGTATAGTCAACAACCTCGGTTACCATTCTCTGATAAGGTAACTCCCTGCAAAAGTAGAAACCTACATAACCCATTTGCAAAATTTGCAAAAAATTCAAATCTTCAAAAATTTGAAAGGGCGAAAAACAAAGTTTACGAAACTAAAGAGAAATTGGAAATGACTATTATTGACAAAAGATAAGTTCGAAACAAAATTTCTTGAGAAAACAAACTGAATAAATATTTGTTAAAAAGACAAATTGAAGGAAAATCTTTTAAAAAGACAAATTGGAAGAAAATCCTACAAAAAGAGAAATTGAAAGAACATTCTTTTAAAAGACAAAATGAAAGAAAATCTTTTAAAAACACAAACTGAGAGAGGATATCTTGAAAAGACGGATCGACAACAAAATATGTTAGAAACAAAAGAAAAATTGTAAAAATATCTCAGATACGGAAGACAAGTTAAAAATAAAATCTATCTATCAGAAATAAAAGAGAAGTTAAAAACAAAGTCAATCCTTTAGTAATAAAAGAGAAATTGAAAATCTATTAGAAATGACAGACAAATTAAAGACAACGATTTATGAAAAACGAAAGACAAATTGAAGACAGACAATTTATTAGAATGTGAAGACAAGCTAACCACAAATACAATTTGTTAAAAATTAAAGAAAAATAGTCTGTCAGGAACAAAATACAAATGAATAACAAGGTCAATCTTTTATAATACAAAGATATCTATCAGACCCAAAAAGAAATTAAACACCAATATAACCTATCAAAAACGAAACAAAAATCAGAAGAAGTCTCCATAAGAGAACTCAGAAATATGAAGCAAAATCACTCTAATAAAGAAGCTATAAAAAAGTACTTAAAAGTTCTAAAATCAGCCAAAAAATAAAACTACCCCAATACCCTAATTAACAAGGTAAGAACTGACAGTACAAAACGACAAAGATTATCAAATTCACAAAAGAAGCGGTAAACAAGCACGCGGTAAAATTTGAATGACAAAAGGTGTGGCAGTAGATTCCACGGAACATTTTCCGCAGTTCTGGGTTCGATGGGTTCCGGTTCCGCGGTTCGCCGCGGAGGGAAAAAGTTGCAACTACCCCAGAAACTCAATTAACTCCGGCGCGAAGTGGCGTCACGGTCCGCGGGCATGGCCGCGGTCAGATTGTTCCGGCGAACTTTGCGACCTTAAGAAGTTGCGGGCGCATGCGCGACATTATTGTATTTCCCTAAACACCTGTTGAAGGGTAAAGTTGAACTCGTGGGGCTTACGGTTCGGTTAAGTGGCTGCGGTCAGGCAGGATAACAATGCCGATATCTAGGTGACCGCCGCTTTAAGATAACACTGTGCCCGATCGAAACGATCGGGGTCTCCCGTAATTGGACGTAATCGCGCCGACGATCCCCGACGTCGGCTCTTTATCGTCGCCCGAACGGAAATCGATGTTTTCAGAAAAAGACGATACCTTCAGATTATTTTTGAAGACGGGGTTTATAGTCAGTGTTGTTTTTGGTAGTCATGTATTGAAGTTGATTTATTAGGTATGATGGATATACTATTGCGTTGAGGAGTATTTTCAAGGTTGTGATGGGGTTTATAGTCAACGGTGACTATGATCTTTGGGAGCCATACACCCGAGCAGGATAAATACACTATTGCGTTGAGGACTATTGTCAAGGTTGTGATGGGGTTTATAGTCAACGGTGACTATGGTCTTTGGGAGCCATATACCCAAGCACGATAAATACACTACTGCGTTGAGGACTATTCTCAAGGTTGTGATAGGGTTTATAGTCAACGGTGACTATGGTCTTTAGGAGCCATACACCCAAGCACGATAGATACACTATTGCGTTGAGGACTATTGTCAAGGTTGTGATGGGGTTTATAGTCAACGATGACTATGGTCTTTGGGAGCCATACACCCAATCACGATAGATACACTATTGCGTTGAGGACTATTCTCAAGGTTGTGATGGGGTTTATAGTCAACGCTGACTATGACCTTTGCAAGCCACACATCCAAGTTAATCTCTTAGGCACGATGGATACACTATTGCATTGAAGACTAGTTTGACAGTTGTGATGGAGTTTGTAGTCAACGATGACTATAGTCTTTGGTAGTCGTATAACCTAGTTAACCTATTAGGCACGATGGATACACTATTGCGTTGAGGATTATTTTCACAGTTGTGATGGGGTTTATAGTCAACGATGACTATGGTCTTTGATAGTCATACATCCAAGTTAACCTCTTAGGCACGTTTGATACACAGCTGCGTTTCAAATTATTTTTAAACTTGTGAGGGAGTTTATAGTCAATGATGACTACAGTCCTTGACAGCCATATCAAGATAACATATTAGGCACGATGGAGACACTATTGCGTTGAGGACTATTTTCACAGTTGTGATGGGGGTTATAGTCAACAATGACTATAGTCTTTGCTAGTCATATGTACTAGTTAACCTATTACGCACGATGGACGCACTATTGCGTTGAGGATTATTTTCACAGTTGTGATGGGGTTTATAGTCAACGATGACTATGGTCTCTGATAGTCATACATCCAAGTTAACCTCTTAGGCGCTATAGATATACAACTGCGTTTCAGGTTATTTTTAAACTTGTGAGGGAGTTTATAGTCAATGATGATCACAATCTTTGGCAGTCATATTCCCAAATTAACCTCTCAGACACAACTTAAACACCAACTGCGTTTCAGGTTGTTTTCAAAGCCATCATGAGGTTTATAGTCAACGATGTCGTCTTTGACAACCATAACTCCAAGTTAACCTCTTACTAACACTAAGTGACGCACTATACTGGCTTTTTGACAACATCTTCCAATATGTGGAGGTCTACTATATGTAGTTTCACTTATGTCATTGTTGATTAGCGCTATAGTGGCTCACTGACTGTTTCAATTGAACGATCTTCATATGATACACACTCTTTTTGCTTTTATATTTTGTAAGAGTATTAATAAATCCCACAAAATAATGTAAATAAATGATACAAGTTTAGGCATCATGGGCCTCTTTGTATTAATACACGCTTATGGTCACAATTGGAAGTTTTATATCTGTGAATTTTGTGAATATGCATATTTTGTGATTTTTGTGAATGTTCATATTTTGTGAATTTTTTGAATCTTCATATTTTATGAACTTTGTGAATTTTCATATTTTGTAAATTTTGTAAAAAAGTATACCATCAAAGTTAAAGTACATGATCATATCTCTGCAATTTGATAAAAATATAAATATATGCAATTTTTTAAAGAACAGAAAGCTTCATAGTTTTCTCAGCGGTTCTAGAGAAATCATGTTAGGTTAAAACGGAATTCGATTCGATTCGATTTTACCGAAGATATTCTAATACTGACACATTCGTCAGAGTGAACGATGAAAATAATTTCGTGCCTCTCGAGCAGACACAGTCTGCATGAAATTGAAAAAATTACTCGGAATAGTTTCTTCGGGTTGTACAAGAAACCTTTGGCAATAATTTACGTTCTAACGGAGTTGCATTGATTAACGTGAAAGTTGGAAGACGAATTGCGAATTGCATATCTGAATCATTTATTGGAACAATTTGAATTTCATAGTGTTATTAATCGCTCTAGTTATGAAGCATGTGGAAACTGGGAGGATGTATAGGTAGATTATCTTTTGATCGTTCGAAGCACCTCTAGTTTCAAGATTTCTGATATTTCCACATTTTCAAATTATCAAGGTCAAAAATTAAGAAATTTCAAATTCTAAAAATTTACAAACTTCATAATCAGAAAATTTGAAAACTTGAAAAATATTAAAATTCGAAAATGTTTTCAAATATTTATATTCCTCAATTTCTGAAGGATGAAGGATAAAAATTTGAAAAATTGAAAAATTAAAAATTTGAAAATCTGAAAATTTACAAACTTGAAAATTGAAAAATTTGAAAATCCGAAAATTTATACACTTGAAAATTAAAAAATTTGAAAATATGAAAATTGACAAACTTGAAAATTGAAAAATTTGAAAATCTGAAAATTTACAAACTTGAAAATTGAAAAATTTGAAAATATGAAAATTTACAAACTTGAAAATTAGAAAACCTAGCAATCCAAAAACTTGAAACCTCGAAACCTCAAAAACCTAAAAAATTCCAAAATTTCTTCAAACCAAACACCTAAATTCCCAAATAATCAGATCTCAAAATCCCTAATCTCCAAAACGAGAAAATTAAAAAACACAAATAGAAACAACAAAAGAACATTAGAAATCAAAGAACCAAAATATGCAGCAAAAATGAT